CTCAAACCCTCCAACCCTTGTAAATCTTTTCTGAACCCTTTCAAGTTTAACAACATCTTTCCTGTAGCAGGGAGATCAGAACTGAACGCAGTATTCACCACCTATATGACAGTCCTGTGCACTGACAACATTACAATGCTAACTCTCACTCACAGGAGCACAAAGCATTAAGTGGCCTGTGGCAAATGGTCTGATAGAGCACAGTAAAACATTCATCCTGTTGTGGTCCAGCTTCTCTTCAGTCACTTCTGGGCACTGACCTCCACTGCCACCTCTGTCCAGGCTGCTTTTGTCAGTTGCAATGGCCTCTTGTTGCAATCCACAGGAAAAAAAGAGCTTTCCCTTCTTTCCTGGACAACTTTCAGGAGAATCTCTACAGAGGAATCACTAAACATAGCACTACTTTTTGCGTGATTTCTGACATTCCCAGGAATGGGTTCGGGGTGATGAGCAAAGGTTAAGTGATGCTCCTGAGTTTCAGTGTAAAATGTTATTCAGATGCCTCTTAAATATGCTGCTTGATCTTGAAGCCCAGAAGTTCCAGCAGACTTTAGAACTCCCTGCCCATAAAACCTCTGCATGTGTATATGCAACAGACTGAGAAGAACATACAAGAAAAAACCCACTCACCCCCAAGTTAAAGTCCCACCTGCTTTTAGGCCTGGACACCATTTAGTCTCAAAATAAAATGAAAATTCCGCACAATGTTTTAAATCAAAAACCTTCAAGAAAGAAAGCAGCCAGACTTGCTGTGTATTCCAGAATTTTATGTTTGTATTTCTGTGTTAATATGCAGCTATTACAGAGATGATGACAAATAGCAATAATAGACAATGTTTTGCATTAGAGAGCCTATGGAGAGCTTCAGCATCAATACTTTATACATTTAATTTGTTTGTGTAAAAATATGAGTTACACATCAATGTATCTCTTCATGTTAAAAGAACAACTCATTCATATATTCAACAATAATGTCTTCTTGCCTACAGACTGCACCTACCCTTTATTTTAAACAATTATTTTACCAGAGTAGAAGTATTTTAATGTTGCAATAATTATCCTTCAGGTCATGTATTGTGATTCCAATATGTTTATTTCTCTAATAATATCTTTTCAATTCACAACTTTTATAATTACATATTAATTATTTAGTACTAATTACCAAAAATATCTGACATACACCAGTTTGACTGTAAACTATTACCAGCAGGATGACTATGTTTATGTTGTAATCACAAACCTTTGCAAGTCAGTATTATATAAATAACTCTAAGCTTAAAAATAACAGCCTAGGATTTCCAACTCCTTCCTCTTTTATGAATTCTATGAATGAAACAAAAATGTTCACAGTTTAAAGAGAAACTTTATCTGTGGTACTTGGAATATTTATACATTTCTTAACAGATAGACTGCACTGTTAAAAGATACTAATTTAAACAAAATAGTGTTAACAAGGTTGTCGTGGTCATTGAGAAAACAGCAACATTCATTTGACACATAAATGAGAAAATATTGTATTTTTGGCACACTGATAATAATTCCTAGATTTATTCGTTGGAAAAACTGTTTTCTCTCCCACATTCAAACACTCTAAGTAACAATTACAGATGGTTTTTAAGGGAATCAAGAGCTAATGCTTTTGAAATATTTTGTACTAATAAAAACTGTCTCTACTTTTTACCAAAACACTAAATTTAACATAACAAATGAATAATGTTCATAACAACTTAAAACAAAAATAAGGCATTTTTGAGAAACATGTAATCAAAATTAATTTCAAATTGTGTCTTCATTTCAGTGATCTTCAGTACTTAATGAATGAATACAAGTTCAAATAAGGTCAAGGAGAAAAAACAGCAGTTGTAATGCTTCTTCTGGCAGTGTATTGGGTTTCATACTGAAACTGCTACCACAGTCAAGGAGGGGCTATTGCATCTAGCAAGGGAGGAGGACTGTCAGGGAAGTTTACTATTTAATCCGTTAAACATGTACCTTTTCCACCAGAGGTGTTCTTTACTTTCATTCAGATACTCGATTATACACTTTCCAAAAATGCTTCACAATACAACTATTTGTCTTCAGCAATATAATCTGCTTGATATCTCTGTCCAAACATATTCCTTGCTGCTTTAAAAGTACTCATTTGAAATGGACAAAAGCGGAGACACTAACATTAAGTGGTAATTAAGTACCCCTGTCATGTAAGGCCTGTAAATCTCTAGAAATAGGAAAAAAGCCTCATCCAGTATTAGCACTGAACTACAAAAATCATTAGCCCTGAGTCCTGCAAAAAAAGAGGTAAGAGCCCTCCTTTCATTCCTTCTGCTGCAGACAGAACTAATCAGTGGTGGAGGTCAGTGAAGGCTGAATCACAGCCATTGGGAGAGATGTCTGCGCAGTCACAGTAAACCAAAGTGTATATAAAGGACAGACAGTGTGTAAAATCAATGCAAACTGAGAGACTGCAGCAAAGTGCAGATCTATAGTGTGTCTGATTAATTATACTTATAAATAATATGTGATTTTAATAGATATGAATTGAATACTTGTGTGGGCCATTCATCTCCCAATATAAAAGGTTAAGATTATATCACATGTTTCCAATTGACCAATTCCAACTCTTTATCTTAACAAAATTAAATTTACAACCCAAAAATCCAATGATTACTCATTTCAGTTAGCCACTTGTTGGAACATTGCTCTGTATTAAATCCTTACATTTTGAAAGCAGGTTCCACTGATCACAATATATGTAGTAATTCAACAAGCACAAGCCTACAACAGAGCAGCAGCACAAGGTTCTCCAGATAACTAAAAACAAACATAGATGCATAGTTTTGAGATCAGTCCTAAAGACTGTTATTACTATTGCTGAAATGAACAGGGCATAATCGATCATCGTGACAAAAGAAAACAGGCTTCACTTCTTTGCCAGTACTGAAAAGTACAGGTGCTTAAAGACAATGGGAATCATTTTCAGTTTTGATGGTGGATGTCAAATTGGCAGTGGTGAATCATTACACCCTTCCCAATTCTCCTTTTGATTGAAATCGATAGCAGGGAAAATTGGGAATTGCATATATCAGACATTTGATCCACTATTGCCAGGCTTTGTTCCTTTCCTCAGAGCAAAATATGTCCCTGGTGTTACATTTTTTTAAACCATGCGTTCCTTTCCTTTATAAACCAAGGGATTACTCATGTTAGCCAAAATTAATACATCCAGATGCAAGAATCTGAACTGCAATCTCTTATTAGGACACAACAACAACACTCATTACAATTTGCTCCCAATATTCTTCCTTCCTGAAGGCAACGGCTCACACTTAGGTGCATACGGGCTCCAAATGCCTTCCAAAACTCAGCCAAATAAATACTCTTCACCTGCCACTAGATGTTGATAAGCCATACAATCACTGGATAAAGAATACCATCACCAAGTGTGCTTTTATTCTCCCCTACTTGGCATCCACAAATATGCTTTGTGAAATTACATAACTATATAGCAGATAAAGAAGGGGGACTCTGATTTGATGTCCTTCCCAGGCATTAACCAGAGGGCAACAATGACACTCCTACTGGGCCAGTTGATAACAACAAAACAGACCAGCATTCCAATCATACCTTTCTTGTCTGCTCAGTAGACTATGAGGCACAACTACTTTCTCACTGAAGACCTCAGTACTTTAAAACAAAACGTTCCTTTTTTTGATGTTACACTTTGTAATAACTACTGGTAAATTTTCAGCACATTTTTAACACGTATGCTACCTGGGATACACAGTTACATTTAAATGTCCTAATTGGCTCTCAGGTAATCCAGGTAACTCGCCAAAATATGTGTTATTGTCATCGTCATACAGGATCCCAATTTTGACTTTTGTATTTACCTGCATTTTTTGCTTTATTAACCAAGAAAAATAAATAATATAGATCACAAATTTTTGCGCCTCATTACTTGATAAACCTGCATTTTACCAACTGCTTCGACCGACCAAGTGTTCAATGTATTGTGATATCAACCTCACTACCTTGCAGATATTAGCATGTTGCCAACTGTACCCACCTAACAACTGCTCCATAGCACAGTCGTGATTCAGGGACCCCAAAAGCCACTAGGGCCAGTCAGAAATTCCACCCATTTAATGAGGTATTATATAAAACATTGCTCAGCGGTAATGGGATAAATATCCACTGCGTTTTCGACCCCCTTTTCCTTATTTCAAGATTTACTTTTAAGTATTTCATGCTATTTAAATTTCACAGAATCGCTGCTGTAGCAGTCGGGAGTACTTGATCCACAGAAAGGTTGTCCAGTAAAAAGGTGGCGATAACATTTTGCACAATCGCTCGGCATGCTCCGCTTTGATCACGCGCACTATTCAGGTTCAGTAAACTAATTTATTTATCCTGTCGAACTAAACTACAAAAGCATTGCAACAACTAGTTTCAGAAAGACATGGTGATTCTGGCTAAGAAAACAAAACGAGCATGGACACTTTTCCCCCCCATTGACAATAACAGCAACTTCTCGATTAAAACACATTTGGAAGGAAAGCCTCGTTTAACAGAAGGTGGAGCTGGCCAACATTGCCCTCGAAAAACTCTAAAGGGGAGGGGGAATATGAAGGAAAAAAGAGACTAATTGAAAAAGAACCAGATGCATACATTGTTTTTAAGTCTGTAAACACGCCTTCGCCAAACTAAACCAGTTACAAGCTTAGCAGAGTGGAGTGTACGCTTTCACATCAAATACTTTGTTTCATTTTTTTCTCTCTTTGCTAATTTTCAACAATGAGCTGAAACCCGTATGTTTACAGCGACCACCGCCACGATACAACCAATATCCGCTCGAAACCAACTACTTTCCTTCCCCACCGGCCATCCAAAAAATTGCATTTTTTTTTGCCTCTGATCCACCACAGCGCACTAAGATTTCAGCAATGATAACATCTGCATATTTGCAAACACAGGCCCCCTTTTTTTCCCCCCGCACCTACCAAAGGCAGATCCAACAGAGGGAGGGATGCGCTGAGCAGCCAGTGTCTAACAGCTGCAGCACTGAGGATCAAACAAACCCGGAGACCCAGATCACAATCACACTTCAAAGCATCAATAACAATCCCGTGCAAAACTCTGCAACAAGGTAACGGTCTTGCAAAAACTCACTCAATAACACAAAGTGAGAGGGCTACAACCTTCCGATTCCTGCAAGCCTGCCTCTACATCCCAGATCGCTCTGGAAGTACATGCAAATACATTTCATAGATTTTTGGAGCTCGCCACAAAAACCGAAGTGGATCTTCGTGAACCGAAGACCCAACCTTTTGAACTGAAATGTGATCCAGCGCAGCCAGCGATAACCTATTACTTCATTCTAACCGCGCCTCTAAACATGAAATTCAGTTTTGCAGAATCGCACAAATGTATAAAAAAACTGACGGGAGAATTTTGTCCAGAAATGAGCAATTTTTTTTTGTTTTAAGAAACACCATCGTTCGCAATATTTCATTCAATCAATCTATTCAACAGAAACGCCAGCAATATATTTCCCAGCGTGTGAAATGCGTGGCTCTGAGTTCTGGCAGAACATTTTAAGCGTTTCTGATCCTTAATACAGATTACCAGTCCATCTTTTCGATGTGCTTCTCCTCGAATTTGGCAGGCTGCCAAGTGAAGTGTGTGGAAACGACACTGCCAGGGCGGCAGAGATTTTCCTTAATTTCATTTCTCCCCATCCTGGCTAGCCGGAGACACGCTGACATTGGTTGGAAAGTGGAGCAGCTCGTCAGGGACAATCAATGAGCATCGATCGGGCTGAGCCTCTGCAACTAGCAAACAACACATCAACACACAGCCACCACACACTCACTGCTTTAATCTTTCGTTTCACAGTCGGACTGTCGAAGCCTTTTTGTTTCCTCACACAGACGCGCTCTGAATTCTCACTTCAGGCAGTCTCCATATTTTCCGTGATGAGGTCCGGTTGCACACAATGTGCACACAGTTGATTTTAAGATATAACCTCACGCCCCGTTATTACTGTTGTTCGTGACAAAATCTGAATGAACAGTCGATTCGGAATTTACAATCACGTGCAAAGAGAACTGAGCACATATTTCAGTCTTCGTCTTACTGCTAACGTGGGCACATTGATTCAACAAAGCTTGAACAGTCTTGTTAATATTACAACTAATGGCAGGAAACCATGAAGTAAAGTTTTACCGACTTCATTTTACTTAAAGAAAATAATTATTTCTTTAACATTTTAAAAGTGATTGTCATATTTTGTTGAGGTGTTTGGTAAGGTCACCATGGTCCATTGATTTTCCCATGACATTCTGGATAACCGCTCTGTGTTCTGGATAATTATTGCTTCAAGGTGTCAGCAAAAAGTAATATATAACCAGGCTGAATGAGGCTTCTTGAATATTACTATTGGATGGTTTGACCTGCTGAAGGGCTTTTTGTCACTCAAGATATTACAGTTTTCCATGCCAATAGAATTCTCTTCCATAATTTTCAGTTTGAAGGAGAAAATTTATGGTAGTTCTTTGTTTTCCCTTTGCAATCAGTTGGGCAAATGAATACTTAGTGGATGTGGGGCATTGGATAGTTTTCTAGTTATATAAGGGTGCTGGTTAACAAAATGTATTCTTTTAATCCTTGATGCAGACACAAATATCAAAATATTTAACTTGATGTATTATAAATTAAGAGTTTATAAAGTAGCTAGTTACTAATGCCTCAGCTAAAATGGAACTGATATTCAGTGCTGTCAGCACTGCTTTGGACTAGGTACTTTGAATGATAAAACAAATGGCAAATCTCAGGACTCTATGTACAGAATGTGGCAAAATGAACTATAGAAATGTTTCCAACACAGAAAACCTATGTACATTGCGAGAAACCCACTTTGTTAATGACATAAGAATATGTTTATCCTGCTCACCTGAAAGCATTTAAAATGCTCAGCATGCGTCAAAATTGACACAGCAAGAAAGGCCCATTCCATTATGTTGGATCTTTGTTCTTTGAGTGGATTTGTTTTGTACTTGATAGTTTTCTCGTTCTTTTAGTGGTCTTTCCTGTTCAGCTATTTCCACCACATAAATAAACACACTTTCCTATAGTTGGACACCATTTGCCAGCATTGCACATTTTCTATCCAATTTGAAGATGAATTCACCCATATTTACAGAAGTTGGAGGGAAAGATATGCACATATGACATGCCAGGCAAGTGTGTTTACAATTTAGATATTCACTTAATACTCACCTTTATACCTCCAGAGTTTTGACATCCTGAAGATCAAATTCCTGGAATGAATAGGGGGCATGCCACAGTGCATATGTACTGAGGCAAAGAATTGTACCTGTGTACGTTCAAAGACATTTGCAATGGCAAGGCAATAATTGCTTATCGAGACTGATGCTGAACTCTACATCGCCCTACAGTTCATTTTGCAAATCACTCATGGACAAAGATTACTATCAGTAGTTGAGAAAATAAAAGTGGACTGAACTTTAATGCAACTCTAAAGCAGCATCACAAAATCTCTGCAAAATCTTCAAGGTTACAATGCACAGTTGAATCATTCAGGTACAGATCCCTTCGTGGATAGTTACATTTGGTGAAAATGTGAATGTGTTGAGAAGCTAGTTCCAACTCATCAATTCAAACTGCGCTGTCGTGCTGCTTGCACATGACCGCCTTGATAGAGACAAGTTACCTATTAACATATGGTAGCTGCTTGATTAGAATAATATTTCAATTCTGTTTTAAATTAACAAAATAACCTCAATTTTCAAGCCATCCCAAAACTCACCATTGAAGACAAGGTGAGAACACTGTGGCAAGTGGGGTACACAGTCCAATCAATCTCAAAAATAAGACACTACATGCATAAACTCAGAGTTGTATTTTCACTTGATAGTGGGAAAGACTTCACTCAATCAAGGTACCTTAGGACAGGACTTGTAGAGGGAATTAAATTTGCAGGGCTACATGAACACAGTGCAGCAATAGGCCTGATTTGATACTGTACAGAGACCTGTATTGATTCAGTGGACTGAATAGGCTCCTTCTGGTGTTGTGTGCTACGACCTTAATTAATGGGGCAAGCTGACACCAGACTCTTGATAGAGTAGGCCATTGGCACACTGAAGTTAAAGTTTAGATTCTTGGAATGAACTGAGGGTATAGCACAGGACAGGTTGATTAAAGTGTCCAAATTGATTGTTCTGTTTGCTGTAAAGGGGGTCTTGCCTTAGGAAAAGCCACTAGCAGAAGCAGCCCGAGGCAGCAGCCAAGTGAGACAGACAGAGGCAGGAGGAAAGGTAAGTGGCAGAAGGGAGAGTGGGGAAACAAGGAAAGGTGTGGAGGAGGGGAACAGGCATGGGGTCACAGACTGCTCCATAGTTGTTCCCAAACTTATTGAAAAGTCACTTCTGATGCTGACCTACCAACTTGAGGGCAATTCTGTGACCTAAAAAGCTCTGGGGTCAACAGCTGTTAAAGCCCTTAAGCTAATCCTCTGTCCAAAAGACTTCACCTTTTAATTCCCTTTGCTCCTCTCAGTTGTACTTTACCAGCTGCAACACACAAACTGCTCCTCCCTCCCCAGATGAAGATAATCAAATGATGTGATGAGCTATGCTACTGATACCATCTACTTTTCTCATTCCCTCCTTCAGTAAAGTTTCTATTTTTACTTTAGGAAATGAATAAGCAAATGAATAAAGAAGTAAAGAATGAAAACCAAAGGAAGGTAACAACTATAATTCTGAAGAGATGTTCCAGTCTCTTGGTCCCCACCCCTTTTGCCTTCACACCTTGTATTGCCAGCAGACTTCCTTACAAAAGAGACAGAGGCTTTGACTTTGATATATAACCTGCATGTACATTCACTGGTGCTGGTTATGGCCATCTGCAAACAGATAGAGTTATGCATCTGTTGGTATGAGTAAATGTCAGTAATCCATGTGCTATTATCAGCAACCATCTTCTCCATCATTTGCAAGTGTGGATATGTGATATTCAGGTGCCCTGTGTGGGCACAATTCTTGCCAGATTTCATGGAGCACCTATAGCTTTTTCAGATGCAGTCAAAGGCTGATGAATGGAATTCTACATATGTGCTTGTGTTTGCCTACTGATTAGTGACAAGTTCACAATGGCAATGTAATTTGGTCCCCTTTGCTCGTATTTCTGAATAACAGCTTCTAGTATTTGTTTGGACATATATAAATTTTGTTCATTGACAATTATCCTTTTTTGGCAATGAATGTTGACTTATGGAATATTTGGCACCAGAATATTAATTCAACATTCCTTCTCCATTTCAATGAGTAGAATCAGAACTGAGTTTCCCTGATGGCTAACAGGATGATGATGCCGCCAGTTACAGCAGTGCATACCAGGAAATTTAATGTTTCATTCCTTGATTTCATTCAGGTTATTAGCTTGAGTCTTACAATTAACCTTTGTGAACTTGGAATCAGAAAGGAAAAAAAATCAGACCTCGATAGAAAGTAATAGGAAGTGCATATATGTGAACATAACATGAGAGTAGAATCATGCTTCGATCAAAAATATTACTGATTAAATTGGCTGTGATCACTCATTGCCAGTTATCAAATAGATAGCTACTTTGCTAAGGTTCTGGACAGCTTGTCTGTGTTGAGCTGATTTCCGATAATGAATAAGTGTCTTCAGGGAGATAATAGGAAAAAAATCCTCCTCAGTTTGGTTCTCTATAGACAGTTGACCAATGATTTTTAATAAATATTATAAATATAAACATTTTTACAATCTTGTGCTTCTACTGGCAGCAGGAAACAAGGGGATGGGCTGGTGCAATTAAATGTACAGGAGGCAAATTGTCAGCTTTCCGGGAGGGGTGCGGATGGAAGCAAGGGATTGAGACTGAGCTACATTGAAGTCAGGTCGAGCTCACCAACAATAAGCAATGGGAGCCTATTTTTAATTCATTAACATTTCATGTGTGCTCATTAAAACATACTATCACCAGGTTACATGGTAACTTTGCAATCAACTCTCCAGTGAACCAAAAACACATGCTTTCAGACTTAAACACGGTGTACTGCAAGTGAAAT